CTTGAATCGGAGTCGCCGTGCTCCGAAGAAGATCGCGAGCATGGCGGTGGTGAAAAAGCGTGAAAAAGCGCTAACGAATCCTCGCTCTTGGAAACGACGTTAATGTGCACTTTATACCATGAAATCACTGAATATCTCGGAAACTTTGCTGTAAATGAATTTTTTAAATCGCTGAAATTAAACTAAAATTTTTCTGAAATGTTGAAATTTTGCTGCAAAGTGTTCCAAAAAACGTGAAATAATTGCAGTGAAATTTTTCCATCAGGGTACACATATGTAATCAACATTTCTCCTGTAATTAATTAATTTTTTTTATATTTCATTGTCAATTCCGCTACAATTTTATATTATCGAATAGTCGATAGTGCAAAAGTTACAATTTTTCTCACAGAAACGAATCGTTTTCATGAGAAATAATATATTTTGTTTATATTTTCTGAAATTATTATAAAATATATTAAAACTGCATATATATAAGAGAGAGAATAATGAATATAATTATTTAAAACACATTTCCCTTGATAATTTTCTAGCATTTAATCTCTGAGCATATTTAATCTAGTTAGGGCACACATTGAGATTATCATTTGAGATGCGAAACAAAAAATTTCTGATAACGTTTCTTTATTATGAAGTGAAGGTTTCCTTCAACATCATCGGATTTCATAAAAATAATCAATTATTTGTTGTGTCATAGTAACAATGCTTATGTGCACAATTGTGCCTAGAAACAGTCGTGCCATTGGCATCGTTGTCATGAGTTTACGTGGAAGATATACATCACTAGAAATGTAACTCTCAACTGTATGGCGACTATGATAAGCAAACCATTGGCGTCGCCATTTCTTTATCATTTTTCGTGATATCGTTCTACGTGATATTCAATGACATTTTTTCTTGTCTTTTTATCATAACACTGAACGCTATCTCAAGGTGTTAGATATGTTTCATGTGAACGATTTTCCTTTTCAGAAAATGTTGTCTAATTACTGTCTTTTACAAACTAGGCGTGTTAAGGAAAAATAAATAGAAAACGGTTTTCAGAGAAATGAATTATTTCCTCTGTCTAGTAGATAGGGTTTTTATTCTATTTACTAAAAATATTGATCCTAAAAGTGTCAATTGATTCAACAGGGTCACATTTTATTTACGGCAGACGGATGCAATACAAATGTGACAAAAGTATGCAGGTAAAAATATTTTATGTAGAGAATAAAATATTATGTTTCTCTAAAATTTCGCAATAGATTCCTTATCACATCAAAAATTCGTTATCGTATACTATTGAAGAGAAAGAACTGTTTATAAATTTTATGAATTTTAGAAGGTCGACTATTTTTTAACTAATTATACTCTCGTACATACATTTCGCGATTTACTTTACTCGATTTACTGAACTCTTTCCTGTTATCTCGAAGAATCGATTGCAACTTGATCATTAAATCTAAGGATTATTATACCCCCGCGTTGCAAGTCGATTTTCAATAATGGCATATAAAATTGATTCACAGGCAAAAATATATATACGACACTCCGTGCGCTTATATAAAATCATAAATATCACAACGCAATTGTGGGATGTGTCACGGGTACAAAGTACGAAAGGCGCACCCTACAGCGATCAGACCAACCCGCTTATGCACCAGTTATTGTCATAGCCCTGTATACACATCTGTGCTACCTTCGATATGAGATAGAATTTCTCGATGGCGCAACAGGACAAAGATTCACCTTGCCATCGTCGCATTCCTTCTCTCTCTCTCTCTTTCTCTCTCTCTCTATCTCTCTTGCTTATTCTCTTTCTCGCTCTCTCGTTTTCTCCATCTTCCCAATTTCCTCTACGAAACCGTCATTGGAGTCGTCATCGTTGCTAAGAAAAAAACGCACGCCCGCTGCACGCATCACGCACGAACGCACGCACACGAACGTACGCAAACAGATGCATATGTACGCACACGCGTACATATATCCCTCTCGCACGCACAGCCCGTAGAAGCGATTTTTCCCTCCTCCGCTTTATCGTGACTCTTTCCTCCGTTTTTAGACACGCTCACAAGATAAGAGGCCGCATATTTTCGACCATTTTCAAACGGGCGGTTGCACGCGGTTTACGATAAATAGAATCGAAAATTCAGAGAAAGCAGCATCGAAGGGAACGCAATCGAAAAATTCCACGTCTGAGAGAATTCATGCATATTTTATGTTACAGTCGTAACATATTTTCTCTCATCGCTTCGAAATGTGCTAATATTATTTCTTTCGTACCGCGATAAAGTTTTTATTACTTGATGGAGAAAGAAAAACAATTTAAAAAATGTTAAATCAACTAAACAAGAAGAAGCGCCAATTATGGTCAAAGTTAGAATAATAAATTTATATGTAATTTATCTTATTACATGACTGCGTGCTTATTACTTTTGGACTTGCAACACAATCAAACTGACATAATAATAATAATAATAACCTCACAAATTAAAATTAAATTTGATCAAGTTGGACAACCTAATAATTTTTTTAAAAATAAATCCTATTCCCTCGCAACATCGTACAACAAATAATTTCTTCTTTAATTTAATACGGTTTAATAACTGTGTATTTATTTACATTCTGTATATTTACTCAATTCGATACTCCCGGTTTAATGACTCGGCGATCGATTAATTAATTACGATTCGTCCGTCCCGTTTCGTCGGCTTTCTCCGCTTCCGCGTTATTCGCTTCCTTTCTCCGAAAACTTTGCGATTTTCTCACGATACTCGAGTGGAAGCGTCATGTCATCAACCCCCGCATGGTAACGTTCCTTACGCGTGTGCGTGCTGAGGGGGTCGATGCGCGTGTTGCCGAGGGCTACGCGCCGAAATTACATACACGCACGCAGTGGGTTCTTCGTAGAGTTCGGCCGTGGTCGCAATTTTCGTGAACGTACACACGTTAGACGTTATATTTTTCCCCGGTCTCTTTTTTTCCTGCGTTCGTCTACCGATATTCCCCTCCCTTCTTAACGCACGCACACGCACGAACGCGTATGCGTATATTGCTGGGTACCACCATAGACCTTACCGTGCGGGAAGTTGACGTGGGTGTAGACTACGAAATAGTTTCCATGCATTTCACCGTGTGTAAATACGCACGCACACGCGTGCACGACCGTCTGCTTATACGTGCGTACAAGCGCGTGATATGTCCCGCAGGATATTGGCCTAGGAGCCGCGTGATTGGCCGATAGTGCGAGCATAGGCGAATAAGTGCGTGTGCTGTGCGTACACGCGCGTGTAGCAATGCGATGCGCCGAAACGCGTCTCACTATCACGCTTACACGCACAATGGCGTAAGTTTTACATATTTTCCTCGGCGTGCTTGATCGCTCCGCGCTGCGCGTTCCATGAATAACATTGCGACATCAAATTAATCGGATTTAGTCAAGCCGAAAATTGGAATCGCTTTAATTATAACGTCGACGTTAACGGCTTTTACTCGTTTGTTAGTTTTATCAGTTTGTAAAACTGTGTGATTTTTTTTTTAAATTACGCTATTGCTCTTATTGAGAATGATTCCGTTTTCGGATCGTTAATTTAATTTAAAAAATGTTGGTTATTTCAACGGTTATTTACGTAAACGATTGGATTAATTTGTATCCATAATTACAATCTATTGTTGTAATACGATGATTTAATTGCGATAATCAAAATTGCACAGATACAATACATAATTATGATTCTTATTTTTTGTAAAGAACTTTAATATCGAGAAAGTACGAGGGAAAAACAATTTTGCTAAAATATAAAAAAAATTTAACTAGGTACAGATCTAAAAATAATTTTTGTTGAGTCATCAAAATAATTACGTAGAATGCTTAAGCATTGTTGCGAAACATTTTAATATTCTAACAATCAATTTGGGCATTCTGCATAATTATTTTGACGAGCCAAATTTATTCAAGCCAAATTATTTTCAGGTATATTTATAGCTGTTTACTATTTTTACGTACGTCCGCAAAACAGGCTTTCTTTCGGTATAGTTTTCAGATTAAAAAATATATATGAATAAAAATATTCAACTTTTATTCGGAGTTGTTTTAAAACGATTTGAAGTTTGATGTTGCAAGACCGATTTTGCTGAAATATTTAAAAATTTAGCAAGATACAAATTTGAAAACAACTTTTTTGGACCATCAACATAATTATACAGGACACTTAAATTAGTTATTACAATGTCAAAACTTTTGGTAACATTGCTCATCATGCTTAAATCTCTTACGTAATTATTTTTATAGTTCAACGAAATTATTTTCAATTTATAGCTAAATTTTTAGGTACTACAAAGCAAAATCGTTCTTTTTGTATAATTTAATTAAAATGTGGATATCCACAAAATACGACTATCTCGTTGAAAGTTTTGAGATATAACGTAAACGAGCAGCAGTTTCCTAAATATAACATCGGTACAACCATCCCTCTTCATAGTTTATGTGTGAAAATGTCATAGTATAGAACTGCATACACCCACGCTTTCCCTGTCTTTCTTTCTCCCATCTGAGTTGTTCCAAACTGTTTTAAAACCGCGTCCGAAATTTCCTCTCGACTTTTTCACAGACTTTAGACTCTTAGAGTTTAATACAAGTGCGTATTAAGAAGACGTTGAGTTAAGAATTCGCTAAAGAATACAAGCTGAAATTTATTTCACAACTTTCGCATACAAGTACGCCTACGAGTACGATGGTACCCCATATTTTCGTCACACACGCTTCCGGTGCGGCTCTTGAGCTGCCTGAATTAATTTATCTTCTTGCGAGAAGAATTACGTTAAACTCGTCAGGGCGGGGGCCATGGTCGTGGCCGTAGCGAAGGTTACGCCATTGGTGCCTCAACTGGCGCACACGAAGAAGGACGAGACTCACAGATGTGACGAACTCACTTCACCACCCCTATGACTGTCGCCGCGTGACGGGCTAGGCCGAGCTCTACGGCCAACGGCATGGTGCAAGCGTCAGTGGTCGTTGAGCAGGCAGGAAGAGAGGTTTTCTGATTCCCGGTACGCGGACGGGCTTCTTCTGTGTTCTGGAGAACGTGGAGTTTATATTTGCGGGCGCGCATGGTTCTCCACGTTTACGCAATCAACAACGGGGGGCGGGGTGGAGTGAAATAAGGGGTGCGTGAAGTAAGGAGTGGAGTAAGGTGTACGATTGCGCCTGTGTATGTGTGTGTATATGTGTGTGCCTTTTTTTTTTTTCTTTTTTTCCTCGCGTCTTCCGGCGTAATACGGCATGTCCAGCGCATGAGGCGTGCACACGTTATATACATAGGTAGATAGGAACGCACGAGAGGGAGGGGAGTGAAGAAGAGAGGAGGTAACCGGGGTCCTCCTAAGCGCGTCCGAAGTGCACACATTTTGTACTGCACTAGCTAGACGAGATTAAAAAGGGAGGAGGAGGAGGGGAAAGGAAGATCGTATGGGATATATTGATAACGCCCCTAAGTTCCTTGATGATTCGCGTCTTGTATCCGGGAGATCATCCAGAGGTTCACGATAGAGAGGAACATTAGTCTCCAGCTTGCATCTCTCTGGCTGCGCTTGCTTTTATTAGATCGTCGTCCAACGTTTCGTCACCGCGAGAGAAGCGTCTACCAAAATCACTATAAGTAAGTTCAACGCACTTTTTTCTCCTCCGCTTTCAACGATCCGCATCCGGTGAAACTAATTCCGCTTTTCGCTTAATTAAGTGCAAAGTGCGTCGGGAGCATTTCAATGGTTTTATCGTAATTTAAAATATATATATATATATATAAAAAACGCACATAAAGATCTTTGAGACGGTTAAAAGAAATATAAGAGTAATCGGCAATTAAAGATTTTTTTCCTTATCGTTTTTTTACCATTAACAATAAGCTTACCTTCGCTTACTCCTCTAGAATCTAACATCTCTGCGCTGCACTTATACTTATCGCTGCCTACGAAAGGCGATATTTTTTCCTACTTAAAATGAGAAGTTATTGGATCGTTATAGATCATCCGACTTTTGTTTTTAAATCCGATGTTTATGGCTGATATTTTTCTTTTATCTCTCTTCGCTTCGCGTAAGTTTTAGCGAATAGATCGGTCGAGAGTAATTTGCATTTGTCGACCAGATTAAAACATCAAAATAGTTCGCTGATATCATTAACCATAGTCGTACGGTTCCTGGGAAATATTCCACGTATGCAACATTTCACGAGACTTCTTTATCTCTTCCTTATCACTTACTTGCTCCTAATTCCTACTGGGTCGACTAATAAGTCGGTGAGAGCGCGTGACTCATCCTACGCGAGAAATGCAAATATCGACTAACTTCCCTTCGCGAAGCGATTTCACCCCAGTCACGAAATATCGATCGTTTTCTTTTATCTCAATTATACTCGCAATTATATATATTCGGGAAGGGAAAAATAGAAGCGGAAAAATGGCAGATCTGATAAATTTAAAATGTTGAACCCACGGGATGTGGAGAAATTACATATTTGTATATATTCATTAAAATGACAAAAATGTCAAAAACGAATTATGCAGAAATAATTAGGGATGAACAGTAAAAGAATAGCAAAAATAAAATCAAAAGCAACAAAGACGAAAGATTTTTTTTCATCATTTGTCAAATCTGTCATTAAAGTTGTTGTGGAACAAATTGCGAAATTTCAAAAACTTTTTTTTAACGAAAGGACTGCTTTTATCAATTTTATACAAAAAAGTACGAAAATGTTTATATATAACCCTTTAGCAGTAAGGTTGACAAAGGATACAAATCGGTTACTGCATGATTTGGTACCTGGTATTTCGGTTCTTTTATTGTAACATCTGAAAGAAAGGGTTAAGAGAAAGTAATGGTCAGGTAGGTTTCCTGGAAAATCTTTTTTTTTAGGCTCAGTTTGCCTTTTTATGATAACAAATTTTTTTGCTATGAATGGCAAGGGTTAAAAAAGTTTTTATGTGCATCTACAGACAATAGTTCAAGCAAATATCACCATTTAGTTCATGCTCGTATATATATATATATATCTACAATGCGTACGAAAATAACGAAATTTCACAAAAATTGATGCGCAATTCTTAGGGGCTGCATTTGTGGATCGCATTACAATTTCATCCGCGATATTTAATTTTATATCCGCCTTTATCGACAACAGGCTGTCGTCGAGAGTTCAATATAATACTACAGTACGTATTAATATTATAATATTATTATAATATTAATACTATTTTGGTAATATGATTCTAAAGCGAAACAAGAAACTTTTATTATGGTATATATTTTATATAACATTAAAATATAATTATTGGAAAAATTTCTATATATAACATTACTAAAATTTAAATACAACTTTTGAATAAGATAAAATGTTTTTTGATACATAATGTAAATATTTTGCGATGCCTGTCTCGACATCATCTTATCATTCTTATCATGTGGTCATTTTTTTTAGTTTGTATAGTGTTACTGTATTTGTGTTGCTCGGATGTTTCTTTTTCTAATCATATTCGGACCTTAAGATATGTAATCTTTGCTAGTTTCGAAAACAGTCTCGAGACTGACATGACAATAAGTTTTTGGATTTTCAACCAAAGATTAACAAGGAATGGCATAAAAGAAAATAATGGGAATATTTTATCTCTTTTATCTCTCGCAGACATTTAACGGTCAACTTTGTATGTCGTAATTATACAGATCGATAATCGTCTCTTGAAATGTAGACCTATTTCAATGTTGCGAAATATCATCTATGATAAATATTTCTAAATAACAAATTAACTATTTTATAAATTTTTTCGGATATGAATTATGTTAAAAACAAAGGAAAGGTTCGTAAATTTTTTAATAGTTCAACAAAATTACGAGATGTGTAGAAATTTTATGATAGTGTCGTAAATTTCTCGATAAGGGCGAGCTCAATTTTTTCTTTTTGTAAAAATAGTAAATTTTATACAATTTCCTTATTTTCGATATTATTTCTATCCGCAATAAGATCGATACCAAAATTGTTTCAGTTTCAATTTTATTTGAAATATTGTTGATAATACTTTCTGTTGACATCGATAAGAAATTCTTGTTGATTTAGTTTTTTAATGGTAAAAAGAAAGAACGTTGTACATTGCAAATGACAAACTATATAATAATGCATTAGAATGCAATTATGACCTTTGATCCCTCGCACAGGCCCTTATCGCTAGATAAATTCAATAGCATTAACTTCGAGAGTTTTTTGGATATTTTTCAAATGAATGCGTCATCAGTTAAGTTAGGGCGGAGGGGATATGTGAACAACACTTCAATCTCGTCGCTCGACCAAGTCAGTCGAGCTGCAGTCTAGCAGTTCTTTGAATAGGAACGTGTTTGCCATAGATTGCAAGCTGACAGATAAACATCCTTGAGCATGATGTCTTCGCAACAGTACTGCCTCCGATGGAACAATCATCGCTCGATCTTCGAGGAATTGCTGCACAACGCGGCGTTCACCGATGTCACCCTTGCTATCGATGAGGGCAGAACAATCAAGTGTCACAAGATCGTGCTGGCTGCGTGCTCGACGTATTTCCAGACTTTATTTCATCAACTATCAGGCTATAATCATCATCCAATAATCATCCTTAAAGACGTTGGGTTTCCGGTGTTAAAGGCGATATTGGAATACATGTATCGCGGCGAGGTGAACGTGGCGCATGAACAGTTATCCGATCTGCTGAAGATCGCGCAACTACTGAAGGTAAAAGGCCTGGTTGAGGAACACGGCACCAGCGATACGCCGAATACGTCGCACGATCTTCGCCCTGAGGATACGTCGCCGCCACCCGATATCAGTACCAGCACCAACACCGGCGGTAGTGGCGGCGTCAGCCATTCGTCACCGCCGTCTTACTACTCCCTTTACGGGAACGATCGTTCAAATCACCTGGCAAGCTTATTACCAAGTACGTGGTTGTTACATTCCACGGGCCATCAGCTTCCAACATCGCTCTCCGGAAATGGCGGCAGTAGCAACAATAGTGGATCCTACGACAACGGTATCGAAATCTCGCCGTTTAAACGCCGGAAGATGCTGCAGCCTCCACCAGGCCTGCTGATAAATAACGACACGCCGATATTGCGCACGGTACTTGGCCAGGCTCACGTTGACAGTTCGCAGGCTCTGCCGCTGTTGCAGCAGCCAGACAGCCATGAACCATTTAACTACCGCAACGCGAACAGCAATGGATCTGCTAACGACAGCGACAACCGCCGCAACAACGACCTGGTTCACGGTGAAACGACGGTCCATGCCGATGCCTCCTACGCAGACGAAGACGAAAGACAACCGTCCCCGCAGTCTTATCCAGATACTGCAAGAAATTCAGGTAGCAATAGCAACTCAAATATCGCAAGAGTTTCTTATAATGGCACAAATTATTTGACTGCTTTATATTATCTACAACGTATAAACGAATTGATGAATTTATTATCCTCTGCGTCGTATGAACAAAACTTACATGGAACTCTCTCTTCTAATAATGAACAAGGTAAACAAGAATCATAACCCTTCGCGAATCAGATGGGGTGTGACATACTCCAGCAAGATGAATTTCTATAACTTTTTAAAAAGTACGCGCCCATGTTTTCTACCTAGATTATAATATATTTAAGCATCAAGCATATAGTATGAGATATACCTACGTATGATTCATATTGATTTTCCATCTGGTTTGCGAAGGTTTAATAATCACACATAAATGAAAAACTATTTTCTTAGTAAAATATTAATATTATTATAATGGATTATATTATTACAATGTGCATATTTTTACTACAAAATTTGCTGCAACGGAAGAGATCGTGACTTGGGGCGAGAACAAACTTGTATTCTCTGTTATAAAAATTTGATCTATATTTATATTCGATTATACTTTTATATATAGAAAATATAATATAAAATATAATGTCAAAAAATAGACTAAAAGGATATATTGTATATATATATATCCTTTTAGTTTTTTTATATTATATTTCAATATTCTATAGGTAATATTATATTGTTGCTTTCATAATTTTTTAAATAAATAGATATTATAACAATATTATAATTTTAAACCATTAAGTATAATAACACTCGAAAATATGCACAGTAATCAAATTAATATACCAATCAATAATCGAGCAATTTTTGGATTTACAATAATAAAAGGTTTCCATATTTAATGAAATATAAGTGATAAAAATGAATATATACGTTTCTGCTCACAGAATCTTCTTCAGTTTGAATAATATAAATTTTAAACCTTTGTTACTATTCCATGATATTAGAGTTCATACAATTATTCTGCTATTTATATTCGTTCTCTTTCAGATTGTAAGAGAATTTCTTGATATGTTCCTCGATCATGTTCAATAGTGAAATTCCATACATCAATTTCTAAATCTTTTTTTTTATATAACTAACTCTCCTCGTTTAACGGCGAGATTCTCGTTAAGTTATTAGTTTAATACGGTGAAAAATGTAAATACACCATGTGTGGTGTATTTACTATCAATAACTAATACAATGTATTATTGTGAATGAAAAAATTGCTCGATTATTGATCGTCATATTAATATTAATTCATCACAGCTGTCGCGGACTGCGTTCAGCCGAAACCCGAATGGAAACGCTATAAGCAGTACACTCGAGATGACATCAGCGCGGCGATCGAGGCAGTGAGAAAAGGTATGAGCGCCGTTCAAGCAGCGCGAAAATACGGCGTGCCATCGCGTACGCTTTACGACAAAGTGAAAAAGCTGGGCATCCCTACATCGCGGCCATTCAAGCGCTCAGCAAGCAACGGAGGAAGCGGGGCTTGTTTCCCGTATGGCATCGGCGCCAACGTGAACGGTGCTCTTTATGACAACAGTGCCGGCAGTGCCAATGCCCTCTCCGAAAATGAGAACGAGAGTAACATCGTCACTGAGAGTTTGGCCGGCACGAGTGCCGCAGTTTTCGAAGCCACGCATCCAAAGACGAAGGATTTATCGCGGGATTTAATGTCAGACTCGATGGCCCGTTGCAGCTCGAGTCCGGTGATACGTTGCGTTAAGCAAAGACAGCAGCAGCAGCAACAGCAGGACCTGGACGATCAAGTAGAGGACTTGTCGGTGAGTCGCAAATCCGACGTTCCAGTGATAGTACCGCCATCCGCTACATCGACCGCGATTAAAGACGAGACGCAGGAAACAGGATTGGATAGTAACGACTGTTGCGATTATAGTTAACTTTTACAGCCCAGTGATGGAAGATAATAAAATACGAATAGGTCAATTTACAGCAAGCTCAATTTCGTAAAACAAAGTTAAATTCGTGCTCGTTTTTAAATATTCTGTCTTTCATCTTTTACGATTTTTTTTTTTTTTTCATACTAAACTTCCATATTAAACTTCGTAAAGTCGTAATGAACTTCGTGTCCGATGAACGATGAAAAAGTCTATCGATTAGGCATCTTGAATAGCCGATTTCGTATTACTTTCACAATTTTTCTTATTTCTATTTCTCTAACAAATTGCATTAAATCTATTTTGACATTGAGCTCCTTATTACTCCATCTCGTATATTGGTTTATTACGATTGCAGAATTTCCTTTATCGCATTTCTTTACCGAGCGTGCGTTTTCATTCCGGATAGTCGAAAATAGATTTTGCAGAGTATCCACCACAAATTTCATCAGTAGAACGTAACAGAACAAATGTAGAATATGAATATGATAACTGATTGACCGCAGAAACCGAGCAATATCTTTCATTCTGTAATCATATAAATGACATATTCTATTTTTATGAATTTAACGAAATGACAAATTCTGCTCGATTTCTACTGGCAATCAAATCATGTCGACAAGCAAAACACGAAATTAACGCGGACGTAATTGACATCAATTTGCTGCAATATTCTTCTCGAATGTGTAGGTGCGCAACATTTTGCTGGGACGTTTTATACGTATATCTGTAATTCTTTGGATATACATTTTGATACAAAAATGTAAACGAACGTAAATGTATTTATTCCTGTTTAAACTTATACGAAAATAAGATCTAAATAATCATCATGATTATCTTAAAAGATTATGATACTAAAGTAAATGATAAAACTGTTAAATATTGCAAATTTATTGATTCGTTGTTCGTGATTCGCGATTTCCGTATAGTTTAGAGCTAGCCTAAGGTATATTTATCCAAAATATTTTAAAATTTAACGCGAATTACGGTTTAAATAAAACAATGAATTGCACAAAAGAACGTGTCGCCACCTAATTATTGTTTTTCAACGCGAACAATGACGATGAAAAAGAATGCATGAGAAGATATGAAATTTAAAAAAAAAATACAGATACAAATATTTTGAAACTTCACTCAAAAATATTTCTAAGGTCAGATAAGACGAATACATCTGTAATGGTACTATACCGCGCAACATTTGAAGATATATATTTCTTGTCTTGCGACATATTCATTTGTGCGGATATTTGTCTACCGTAATAGCATTAAAGCTTTAATAAATTGAGCAAAATAATACAAAATTCATAAATGGAATCTCTACTATAACGCTACATAAAGTGTCCTTTTCTCCCCTCACTATTGTGCAAATGAAATAAAAATGATGGGAGATATACTATAATAATAACGTGCCAGTAATAAGTAATAAACAAGCATGGAAACATAAACATTTTCCGGATGATAGGTTTACTTGCATATGTGCTGATTTATCATTTCATTATAAACTTTGTATTATTTAATAAATATCGCTGTTAATTTGTTAGCATTGTAAGTACTTCGTCGTTGTATTTGATCGTTACTGACCACAGCTCCGGGATACGATTGCAATATTGCTCAAACATATCGACAGTAATGATAATAACGAAATACCTCATGTAAACTACGTGTTCATTAACGTAAGACTGATAAAACGCAGACTTGAAATATCAACGTATATCACCGATTAAAATACTCAAACCTAATTGAGGCAAAGCATCGAGAAAGTTTCAACTTACAATTAAATAAAGACACAAGTTTTCTGTATTATATCTGCGATACGGAAAATATTGAAGAATGCAAAAATGTATGTTTACTTTTACAGTGAGCTTTGAAACACGAAATATAAACACTCAAATTAATTATTAATTTATAATTATTTAGCGTACATTATAACGTAACATATATTTCTATTTTTAAAACACACTAACTTTGTATTAGTTCCGACATTTTTTAAATTTCGTGGTGATTTAATTTATTTACTCTTATCTGGAAACATATATTTATATGTAGAATAGAAGATGGATGAACAAATTACGTTTAATTAAAAAACGCATTGTAAAATATACAGTTGCATTCAAATGTGCTAAATGCGCATAAAAAATAGATCTGGAAGGTCAACGCTTAATAACTTTTCGTCGATACTTTGCCTCTCTACGCAGACCAAAGTTACCTCGAGGATTTCTACCTCAATATATAAGTCATTCCATATTTACTACAATAAATAATAAAATTTTTGTAGAGAAGATATTTACAGAATGTATGCGAAGCAATGCAAGATAATGCAGTACCTGCCCGCCGTGTGATCAAATGTGCATCTTTTAGAAAATAAATTCAAACAATGCAAAGATCTCTGAAATTAAATAACCACCGTTAATGTATTACGTAAGGCAACTTTGAAGCCCTACTTATATTTTAATTAAACAAATGTTTTATTCAAGAGTGCGTATATTACTTTATTTTAGTCATTGTTATGCATTATTACTTTTTATACCACAGAGCGCACTGTAAGTACAATAGTACAACTAGCAAATAAGACACGTTATTGTTAGGCTTTAATAAATTTTACTTCAAGAGTGTAACGTGCACTAATTAGATATTCGTCGAGCGATATATAAGAATGTATACGCAAGATATCCTATTTTGACAATTTTTCACGTAAAAGAATTTTTCATCAACTTCAAACCTTTCTTTTCCTTTTTCTTTTTACCTCGATACATTTCATCTCTTTCTTCGGCTCATTTAACGTACGTTTGTACGTTGTGCTCTCTTTTCCAAAATATCTATTTGCAAATCAAACTGGGATAACTTGTAGATGTGAGGAAGAGGTAGGATAACTAATTAAGGAAATATACACGTATTCACTTCGTATGTACGGATACGAGTACGTTGTTTTAAAAAGCCGATTAGTTTATCAGAGTATATCGTGCAGCGTTGATGCGAGAGCACATTTTATATAATCGGCATATATCTATTTTAATCCACGTGTGTGTGTCTGCAGAGCGCATTTCGAAGCACCAACGTGCTTATAAGCGCGTCTTTTAAATACGATACATGCATCGTGAGGGTTGTTTCCCTTAGTACGTGCCTTCATTCGTTGATTAATCTTTACGATATGAACGCGGCGCGTTAATTATTAGTGTTGATTTTATACCGTTTATTATCAGCCATTATCACGTTGCGTAAAATAGAGTCCATTATTAGTACGTGAAACTCCATTATTTCACTGACATTTCTGTGACATTTTGATCTTTCTCCTTGTTCGTTTATACGATTTCGTCACACAATTTGTAAATAATCATAGGCGGACAACGACACTTTTAACAATTAGCGGTGTAAGACTGATTGTAAGACTGATTTTTTTTTTACTACGTTGACTTACACGCACACACAGAATGCACGCCCACTATATATATGTATATATATATATATGTGTATATGACGGGCGTATATAAATAAATAAATATCTAAAAATGTACAAGTATATAGATTTATTTGTGCATATATTATAATACATATATATATACATTACACAAAAAAATGACAGCGAAATATATATATATTATATATATATATTATATATTTACACACTTGCTCTCACGAAATATATGTTATCAATAATTGTACAAGTTTGTTACAGAATAAACCATATAATCTTATACACCGTTGTTGCTTATTAATCAATCCCGTTAATTGAGTTTACCTTGATTAGAGAGTACACACGCGTGGTATGTCGAGTTCAGTGATCCGCACCATACCTTGCAATTCCGATCGTTTTGTAGCAGTGCAGCGTACACGTTCTTGTGAGCTGATGTGTGTATGTGTGCGCGAGCAATGGCGGATTAAGGCTTTTGAAGCTCTACAGCTCACAACGTAACGCGATAATTCTTCTACGGGGGGGGGTCGCTCGAAATTTCTTTAGCTACATCCTGCAGTCGACGATGGAGGAGTCGAAGAAATTTTAGATGATTTAATCATTATGACTGTGTCTGTGACATCACTTTTTCTAGAGTAGATATGTATCTCCAGATAGCAACATCTATCTTGATGTTGGCGTGTTGCTCGCAAATAAATAAGGGTGCGTTTTTATCAGAATTGCAGCAACTGTGTAAGTCAGCATGTGTGAGTAAATTGATGCCTTCATGATACGACAGCTTTAGGAAGTAACTTGCTAACGACTTTAAAATTTTCATCATCAAAATTTATGCCGTTACCGTCATGTTGTCTTAATAATCTACAGCTTTATACAATGTTATCGTATTGCTGATAACGCAAACTAACTTTGATGCTGCTATCTTGCCATTAAACTATTGTGCAATACATTGTTGCTAATATCAGTAGATTCATAATCGTTGAAGACAAATGTATGGCAAGTTGCCAGATTGTAGATAACATTTTGTACGATTAGATTTACGCCAAAATTGTAATATCAATGTTATGAAACTGGCCAATCACAGTCCATTTCATTCTTCAGAGAAATAGCTATAATTGGCTAGTTTTATGACGTCAATACTATAATAACTTTGGCGTGTAAACGTCATAAGCAATTACAGATTTGCACGATTTTGCTGAGACACACTTGGTTATCTGGATTTCCGGAAATCGCGAGTTAACAGTATACACCATTATTTTTCAAACGTTTATATATTTTTCTTACGTATTACTTTTAAAAAGCCTGACGAGCGAGAGAGAATAAAATTTTAATAATATAATTATTATATCATTGTAATGGAATTGTTGATCCGAATAGAGCGAAGGAAATAAAATACGAACATTCGCGGTGTGATTGATCTAGAATTAAGTAAATAAGCAAATAAGAACGCATGCAAACGATTGAAAGCGATTTCGCGAAACTACAAGAAATAAGACAACAATGAGGTAACAATGAAGAGAATGGGGAAAGAGGAGTGAGCCTTAAATCGAATCCTCCGAATGCATCAGGTATGTACGTCGAGTGAAGCCTCCTAAATGACGAAACGACTTGCATGGCCCTCGCAGCGTAATTTTGGGTTCTCGAAACAGGGATTGCGGAGGCAGCGCAATGGAGAAAGATAGGAAAGGGAAGAAAAACAGGGAGGATGGGAAGGAAAAAGATAGATGGAGAGAAACACAGTTACGTCCCGCTAATAAGCTTCATTCCTCGATACGCGCGCGGGGAGAATAATTATGGGCTTGCGCAGTGCGCTCGAGTCTTTGGACGACTGCAGGGGGGTTGAGAAAGGGGTTGCAGGGCGAGGGGGCCGAGTTGCCGAGAGGGTGAATCGAGGAGAAATAAAGCCCCGAGCCCAGCCGGCGAATGCGGCCGCGCGCGCGGATGCTGAAATCTCGCTCCGTCCGCTCGTCGTCGTTCACGTCGTTCGCGTCGTTCACGTCGTTGTTCACCACCTCGTCGTCTGCGTCCTTATCATCGCGATCTCGCATCTCGCGCGTCGAACGACCGTCGCGAAACGTTCCGCGCGAGAGAGGAAGAGATAGGAGAGAGCGAGTAGAACGCGGATTCTCCTCGCGCGGGCAGATACGCACGTGCGTGCGTGCGTGCTCGCGGGGGTGCGTGCGCGAGGGGGTGCGTGTGTGGGCGGCCGTTGGTGCGTTGTGTTACGCGTCGTGTGACACTCTCCGTCGGCGATGCCCTCGTTTCATCCCTAGATATATATTATATATATTTGTATATATAAGAACAAATATATTATATATATATATATATATATACACATATACATACACATACACACACG